AGACTGATGGAAAAAGCAATAATGCAGCCATAGAGGATACAGGGTTAATTTTTAAGACATTTTAGAGAGTAGGTAAAAAAAAAAAAAAAAAAAAAAAAATACATTCAGAGGAAATACAGTAATCTCCCCACCCCAGTAGTTTTATTTCCATGTAGTCACATATAAATAAATGTATTACTTGCACGATTTGCATAGAAATACAAACAGAATTTGAAGTTAATATAAAACTAAAGGAACTTTCCTAGTGCCTTCTGGAGGTTATAGAAATAATTCATAAACAGGCCCCAGTTAGTGATCTAAATCCCATGTTAATTAACCCATTTGGTAGTTTTTTGGGGTTTTTTTTTGTTTTTTTTTTTATTCGGATGTACATTAAATAATAAATGATCCTAAAATGTGTTGTGCCCATTGTAATCAAGAAAATAAGCATTCTTGCACAAATTAGTAAACATGAAATGCAAATCAAAGAATTATCAGCTTAATCAATTTTCTTATCACCTCCAAGAAAAATGATTACTTCTAAATCAGTGAACAAAACAATGCCAGATCAGGACACAAAAATATGTACAAAGTATTGAAATGAGTGATGTAAATTATAGCATTCTATCAATACACTTCAGGAGAAATAAAACAAATACCATTAAATGTTATTCCATAGTCTGAGCCACTATAATAAATAAATTTACATTATACATGTGATTATTACACAATATCTTTCATTGTTTTTATAGTTATTATAAGAGGCACAAAAATACAGGAAATTCTAAAATGAATCTATAAAAATAAAATTGTTTGACTTCAGAGATTCATTTAAGTTTATGTGTGTATGCTAGTGTATAAAAGATATGATAATTTTGAAGAAGACAAAATAATTTTGGACATTTATGGAACTAAAATTTTAGAGAAAAATTAAACAGTGATCATTTTGTAAAAAAATAAAATAAAAAGTTAGAAACCAAAAAGTGCTGATCACAAAAACAAAAGATATCAGAAACTACAAAGAAAGAAAAGCAAACTATTTTGATGGAGTAGCAAGAATTTTTTGTTTTGTTATTTCCAATATCTTTTACCACAGTTTTCTAAAACAAAGATTTAATTGCAGCTGCAGTTGTTGCAGGATCTCATAACAAATTATAAAAGACTTCAAAAAGAAGAAACAATGCATTTTATAGACAGAAATAAAAGGAATGACTCTTTGAGGCAGTTTTTGAAAATACTTAAAAATTAACATTTCAGTTCTCAAATTATTTTCTTTTTTTCCAAAGTTTAAATTACAAATTTTTTTCAAAATGAAAGAAATACAAACTATTATTAAGAAAAGAAAAAAAAAAGCAACAACATCAATGTATATAATGAAAAGTGATTTTTCATGAAACTCTTGAATTATTTTGGGAACAGGATTCTAAATACATTATAGGGAACATTACATCACTGCTATAGTTTGTATCACCAACATGCAAAAGGGAAATAAAATCTTGTTATTATTAATATATTTTTGATAATTTTACATAGCATTCTACATTTCATGATATACCTGCACATGTTTGATAGCCCACTTCTGGTTGTAATTTAAATCTTTTACCATTTTCTATATAGAGAGAAAATTGAGAGAATATTTTAAAAGTTTAATTTTACAAAATAGTTCAAAAACAAATATATGAACTAAATTTAAGTTTTAGGATTTATTTAAAAATATCTTTATTTACACTGCAATTTAATTTAAATTCTTACTGGTTTTTGTAAATATCATTAGAAATTAAATTTAGATCAAAAACAGCTACAATAAATATATATTTTTTTATATTATTCTGAACAATGATTGGGTCACCAAAAGAAGAATTATGTTTTAAAAACTGCAGGTTCATTTATTCATCACAGTCTCATTATAAGGCTGCTAATACAAAGAAAGCTGAAGTGTATAATAATTAAAAATAATTTGGCTTTTTTTTAAGCTCTGTTTAATTAGAAAAAATGTTTTATTTTTGTTTTAACAGATACCAATTAGTGTATTCTTAATGAAACCAAGGAAAGTATATATATATATATATATATAGCCACTAGCAAGAAGCAATGGTATTCCTAGAGATTGCTTAGGGAAGACAAAAATATATTAGTTTATATAATGAAAAGTCTATTACTAAATCAACTGATAATGTATAAAGGGATGGAAACATTTTAATACAACAAAAACATCTAGAAATATTCCACAAATATATAGCATGTGGAAATAGTGTTTGTGTATGTGTGTGTAAGTGTTGGATGAAATCACATAGGAAAGGTATATCACAAGTTAGCAAATAAAAGCTCTTGATGTCAAAATGTGACAGTTCAGTCAGGAAAGGGATTATTTTTTTTGTCTCTTTTTTTGAGGGAAGATGGGATGGACAAAAGGTGATAATGGAAAAAAAGGATACAAAAATTAAAGACAAAACGTAGAAAGCACCTGCTGTACAAAAAAAAAAATTAAATTAAACCAGCTTACTTCATAATCCAAGGGGGAAAAAAATTCAGCAGTTAGAATATTTCATCTACTTTCATTCCACGTATCATTTTTTTTTTTCTCTTTCTCATTTCTCCATGAGAAAAATCTTCCAAATAGAAATGGGTAAAGATTCCCATTATAATAGCAATAAGTTTATAGGTTTAGCCAGATGCAAATAATCGGTCTGTTATATTTTGTTACTACAAGTCAAGAACACGTGTGGGTATGGAAAAAAAAAAAAAAGATTATAGAAATTGCCCGTATTTATCCAAAGGACTAGTTTTTCAAACTGACAGAACTGACTCCCTGCTCCATATTTACAGAATAGACCCACCACCACTAATACTTTTAATCTTGTAACAAAAAAAAAACTGAAATATAACACATCTTGTATGTGTGTATTTTATTATATATATATATATATATATATATATATATATATATACACTACAATCACCATCACTGATATGAATGAACAATAACAATTTTCCAAGTTTAAGTGCCTTCGATGTAGTTATTCCACACTGTCTGGGCATGATACACCTACGTCATAATAGATGCTTGCTTGCTGACACAGGGAATAAACAGAGGATTTGTAATAAAGTAAAAGTAAATAAATAAATAAAAATTTAAAAAAAAAAAAAAAAAAAAACAACTTTCTTTTTTGTTAGTTAGTACATCTAGCTATCAGGTCATTTTCTGACCTCTATCAATAGAAAACAAAATACCTGAAGAACAACACACACAAACAGTATATATAAGAGAAAAGTCCAAGAACCTAACTTATTATCACTTCCATAAAAATGATATTTGCAAAGCCATGAATTTCTACCAAAAGGTCATCCATTTCACAAAATGTGGCGACAAAATATCAACAAGTATCCCAGAAATTTTAAAAATAAATGTATTCTTTTCAACAATCAAGAAAGTAACTTCAAAGTAACAAACAAACTAATAATACAATAATTATGCCAACTATAAATAAAAAGTTAAGTTATTCCATATGCTTTGTTCTAATATGCTTGCTACTAAATTTTATTATAATTTTTAATGTTTATCAAATAACCTTCAGAGTAAGACATTATTTTGCTCTTTAGCCCCTTGACACTGGGATTTGCTTCAAAATCATCCGAGTTTACTATCAATACCAATGTATGGTATCATATTAGCAAATTACCTTGTCATCACTTCTGAACAATCTATTGCTTCTACCAAGTGGTTACTAAATAAAAAAAAAAATAAGTCAAAAACTCAAGAATTGTAATGAAAGGACCAAAATGAATTAGCAACAATCCCTTTCATTTTAGTCCCCTCTTTGCAAAGGTTATCTTAAATGCTTGCTTTTTCTTTGTCAGGAGTTGTTTCTTTATTTCTATTGGTTTTCCCTCATTTTCCTTAAAAATATTTTTTTACTGAATTACCTACATCCTCTATGTAAAAATATATTGTTCACTTCTCAAAAGAAAATGTTTCTATTTTTATTCAAAACCCTGTCAATCATCATAATAGCACCAACAAAATTTTAAATTGTGTTTATAATTATATAACTTTCATGAGGTTGATATTAATTTCCAGATATTTCAACAAAACTGTAAGGGCAGATAAAAATTAATATTTTAAAAACTCTCAGATATAAAAATGTTTTATGTTATTATTTAAGTGACAAGTCCTGTAGAAGCCACAAAAAATATTAAAATAATGTTAAGATCCAATTTTACTTGCACTCAAATGTACCAATCTAATCGAGAAAATAGAAAAACATTTTAGTGTCATCAGTTGTATGATTCTAATATGTTAATTACCTACTCCTTTAGAACTTTTGACATAATTCAAATACATGCCTTCCAATAATGATGATATAACTATGATACTGTGAGGCATAAAGAACAAACTAGAAATATATTTACTCATTTCTGAACATTTAACAAGCACTCTTACAACTAAATAGGGAAATAAACAAGTCATAATTACATATAACCCCGGTTTCTAAAGAGGATGTAATAATTGTAAGCACATGACATGTATACAAATATACATACACATTCAAGAGATTCACTTTTAAATGCAGATAACTGGAACATGATCAACAATATATTTCAATAGATTTTAAATCAAACTTTAATAAAAAAAAAAAAAATAAAAATAAAAAAAAAAAAACTTTGGTTCCTTCTCAATCCCTACTTGGTCAATCATAGTCCAGCCAGTTGGAGCAGGCACATTTATAACAATTAACCTCCCTCAAGAGATTCTGTTTAAATTTAACTGGAGTTAAAAAAAAAAAAAAAAAAAAAAAAAAAAAAAACTATATATTACTTGGAAAATGTATCGATGGGTTTTACTTTCCTGACCCCATCAGGTAAAAAAAGTCCTGGGGGAGAGAAAAAAAGTTATGTTTCTTCTCAGGAGTGTTTTCTTCACTCTGCTTAAAATGGTTAGAATTACTATTGAGAGGTTGATGCGATGGTGATGGCGGTGTAGTACTAGTTGGGCTGCTGCTAGTGGTGGTGGGTGGTGTCAGTCAGTATTGCCGTTGTTGGTATTGTGCTTGAGGAGAGTACTCCTGCTGGTTGTAGGCCTGGAACTGAGTCTGTTGTTGGTTGGGTGACTTCTGCAATGGTGGTACCCCTTTCCTATAAACCAGCATATTCAAAACAGGTTTCCGTTGTATGTACTCCACAGCCTTTTTGTGAGTTGCTACAGTCAAATCATGACCATTTACCTGAAGCAAACACAAAATTAGTAGTTATACAAAAACTAAGGACTTTTTTTTTTTTCTAACAAAATGTCAAATAAAATCAGATTTATAATTTATATATTACATGCACCCTTTATATAACAAATGAAAGGATGTAATACAATTTCAGATCTAAAATATCAAAGAACTGATTGAAGTTAAATTTGATAAACTGAACAGGCTATAACTCAAAAATAAAGTCTCATTTAAATACTCTTTAAAAGAAAGGTAATACTCTTCTACTTATTAATGTGTGTTTGTGTGTATATGAGAGAGAATTCAAAAGTGAGAAATTCTTTAGAAAATAATCAATATATAAACCTTGACAGATCTTTTTCATTTGAAAAAAAATTTAATTTTTATTTGTAGAAAAATGCCTTTCATAGTCAATACTCATTACGCAAAATTGAATAAAAACTGAAATACTAAACTGTTTCAGTTTTTATACAAATCATTTACCACTTTAAGCAACATTCAATAATCTTTTTATTATATATATATATATATATATATATATATATATATATATATATATATATATATATATAGTAGCAATAATAAGGAAAGGAAACAACAAAGACATAAATATGTGTATTACTTAAAAAGTAATGCATGATTAGCAATGATTGATGTTATATTCAGCACCCAAACTTCAGAGTTTCATAGATGAACTCTTTGGTAACCATTTGGTCTGGTCGTCAGGAGGTTTCAGCAATTGACTGTTGATTTTCTCATTTTTGTTATTTTTATATTAAGTTAAAACATGATTTATATACTTTTTCATTAGTGTTAGGTAGACTGTTGTGGTTATTTCTTCTTTTCATCCTTTTCTTGTCTCCTTATACACTCTCCCTATTCCTTTTCTTTCATTTTTCTCTCAGCTCTGGGTGTCAAACACATGCAGAGTAAGCCAGTTGTTTGAGAAAACACCTTCAACAAGTTATAAATGAAAGGTAACCTTTCACAGGATGTGCCAAATTGTAATTTTTTTTCATTTCTCTTTGCAATATATTGTAATACTGTGACCTTCAATCTCTGAGGAAATGAAAAGGCACACTACTCAGATTGGCTAGATCCTTAGTGTTCAAGGTCATGAATGAACTGGAGGGCATCTGGTAGGCATGTGTCATCCATGACCAAGAGAAACATTCTAAGCTGTCGGACATCATCAGTACAGCCAAGTTCATTCAGCAAGTCTAGGACATCATCAAATGTGATCCCAGAAATTTATTGAGGGTCATTGCTGAGCACTGCTGAGTTCTATATGACAAGGAGAAGGTAGCTCATGTCTTGCAATAAGTGTGTGATCTGATCAAAATGCTTTCTGAACAAGCTCATACTATATTTAAATTTTGAAACAGTCAGTTTTCAATCAGCACCTGACAATTGCATCATGCATGAAATCCAGAGTTGTGTTACCCATGAAGAGAAAAAAAACATATATTATTATAAATTTTAGTTGTTATACATTGAGTGCCAGGGCTAATAAAACAGGGCTCAATGTGTGATATTTGTGAATAAAAAGACAAAAGGAAAAGCTATTCTGAACCGATGCATCTTGTACTTTGAAGGACTTTATCAGAGGACAAAATGTATCAGCTAAGAATAGATTTTCTGCTTGTCTTTTTATTCATCCTGTCCATTTACAGATACACTATCTGAAAATAATTTATGTGTGTGTATATATATATATATATATATATACACACAAATGTGAATAAAGACAAAAGGAAAACTTATCTTAGCCGATATGTTTCATCCTCTGAGAGACTTTATCAAACGCATCAGCTAAGTTTTCCTTTTTTTTTTATTCACTGTTCTTTTACAGATATGCATATATATATATATCTATAATATATATATATATATATATATATATATATATATATATATATATAGCTACTGTTTTGTTAACACAAATTTATCCGAGAAAAAAATAAAACTGGATTTTCCCTTTCAAAACAAATCTTAAATATAATAAATAATTTATGAAAATTACTTCTTTTGGAATATAACATAATATAAATTACATTTCATTGATGAAAACTTGCTTGACACCCATCTAGCCCATCCTCCAAAGATGCCTTTGTGTAGGTGTAGACACATGTGTAACATTCTGGGTCAGGGTTGGGCTAATGGCATAGTACATCCTAAAGCAATTGTGCGTGTTTAGTAACTGCAATACATGACAAAAGCTGAAAGCAACTAAACAAGAATTAATCACAACTGTATATGGGTCTTTTCAAGATCAACACCAATTTTTTTTTTTAAATCAAAGTTCAAACTGTCACAATGACACTCAACTATTAGGTTGGTGCAAAAATAACATTGTTTTTTGATGTTAAGTTGAACGTCAAAAAACAACATTAGTTTTGCACCAACCTAATAAATTGCATTCTAATAGAAGCACCCTCCAATTCATCATATTAATTGAAGACTCAAATGAGGGAGACAAAGGTTATATATCTACTACTTTTAATTCTTGGTAGAATCTAAATCATTTTTAATTGATATTTTCTTATTGCTCTCAGGTGACTTGGTATCAGTTAAATATTGACTAATTCACATTATTTTAAATTGGTTTATACAAATACCGTTTCAGTAATATCAGATTTTTAGTAATATTTATTCCAGCAGCTTTCTCAATAGAAAAGAAGCCTTACTTAATACATTTTAAAAAGCATGCATATAATAGCCCTATTCTTTCTTCCAATAACACATGCATTAATTCCTGACCACTGACAATCACTTTTTTCTGATTTTTTCAATACCCGACATAGATTGTGTGCAAAAGTTTGATCAAACCAATTTTAGGTCAAAAATTGCAAAATATAATGGTTAGTCCTTATATTTTAATTTTAAGCATGACTTAACAGTTATTTTCATTAAATCCTAAACTGTCTTCAGAGATCGTTTTGACAAGATAATATAAAAATGTAATAAGAACATTATTAAAAGTGGGTTTATATAATTTCTGTTAGATAACCAAAATATATCCTATGTAGTCTCTAAGCATGTTTCTTGCATTATTCTTTTTTCCACAAGTAATTTCTGTTTTGGGAAATCAATTGTAATAACAAATGTAATCATATTTATAAGAATAAATTAGAAGTACAATAAAATAACTATAATAATAAAAATAATAGATTTTGCAAAGTAACGTACACTGTGGATTAAAAGGTAAAAATGTTATTTACCTCTAAACACAGCAAGAATAACCCAAGAAAAAAATTTTTCATAAAATCAGTTGGTCTCTTCTACCCAACTCACCCTATTTACCCAACCTTATACCAACCAATTATTACCCACCTTCTACATTTTTTTTTTATGGGAAACGAAAACCACATTCAAGAGTTCATCAAAAACTTTTTCATTTCAAAATCTGTAGAATTTTACTCAAAAGGTACCTAAGAGCTGCCTCATAAGTGGCAACAATTGATTCATTTTCTACAGCTTGTCAACCCTTTGCAGGTTATTTAAAGCTATAAAATATATTTATATAAGAATTTTTTTTGGAGGGGAGATAATGATTAACCCATAGCTGGGGGGAGAAGAGGTGTAGTCATACCTTTCCCAAGGGTATTTTTCATAAGTAAATATAACAAGTCCAACTAAAATTTGAACAGCTCTCCAATTAGCAATTCAGAGCCATTATTATACCACCCACACATCCAAGGTTACAGCACCTGATATTCCCAAGCTATCTAGGTACTGACCAGGCTCGACATTGCTTAACTGGTGATCATATGAGGAAAAGTGATAAAAGTCATTGTAAATAAGGGTGAATATGTAAATTAATTGTAATTATACTTCTATTTTTTTTTCAGAATAAAGTTGATAAACAAAAACGGAAATTATTTATGACTCAACCTAATATTAAATTATCAACTTTTTGATTCACACATGGTAGAGGCATAATGTAAATTTTCACATGTGATTATTTCGTTACATACTTTTAGTATTTATTGTGTCACTATAAATTTAATCACTAAAGTGAATGCAAATTACAACAACCAAGTTGAAGGATAGTCTTTTATTATCGAAAATTCTGAGACTCAAGTTTGTAGTATCACTGCTGATTTTTACTCCTGGTTTCTCTTTAGGATTATTTATTGACAATATTGTTATTAAATTGTTATCATTTTCTATGGCTGCTGCAAATCAGATTTCTGATTTACTAATGTCCTCATCCCACCACCACCACAATCTCCCTTTCTCATCAAAATATTTATTCAAGATATTCTAATTCTAAATATACAATATGGAAGAAACATGCCTTCTTTTGAGAAATAGCAAAATTACTTCAAACAAAAATGCTCATTTTCATTTAATCTTACTAAAGAAAGAAGCTTGTAGTTATTTTAACAAAGAGTATGCAGCTATCATTAAAGCAAAAAATTTAAGAAAATAAACATCTTTGGGCTCATATACAGAATTGCCATTTAGTACTGCCCACAACAATATTCACAACTAGCCAAAGTAAGCCTAATAACATTCTTTTGGCAAAATCTGTCCATTTCTGGAACATTAAATAAATTTAATCATTGTTCATTTACAGAGTGTAGCATAAATATTTACCTGTTATTTAAATGTAAATTAAAACATACCTATTCGTAAAAGGAGTTTTAAATTTTGTATTAAGCATCCTAATATTTTGTTTTATTGTTAACTGTTTAATTAAATATGGTGGTTCAAAAATGTGATCAAATTGTCATTGGCATGAAGAATTATGAGGTGATAAAACAGTTGAATGTTTGTAGAAACTGTTTTAAATGTGTGGAAAAAGTTTAAATCTCACCAAATCCAAATTCAATTTTTTACCTAGAGAGTCATTGAAGTCATCAAGAAGAGGGTGACGAGAAATCCACAATGAAGCATGAAGATGACAAAAGAGCTGGATATTTCAGACAGTTTGCTAAGGAGGATTGTGAAAGATGATTTAGAGCTAAAAATCATACAAAATTCAACAACAGCTGCTCTCAAATGCCTCCAAGCCAAAACAGCTTGGCAGAGGGAAGATGTTGGAAGAGATGCAGCATGCTGCAAATGCAAAGTATTTCTTTGATTGAATGACAAGTTTTTCACTGTAGAGGTCAACTACTGAAATGTTTCACTGTTTTTGGTCAACTAACAAAATGATGCCACTTCAACAGGAAACATTCCTGAATGTGTTAGAACCCATTTCAAGTGACAGAAACTAACTGGTAACATAGTTTGGGGCTGCTGTTGCTTCTAACAGTTCAAAGTAAACCTTTGGTGTTCATTGAAGAAGTAGTGAAAGGGAATAGCAGAGTTTACTAGCAACTGTCAGAAAGTGGGTGTGATGCCAGCAACATTTGGAAGTTGCTAGGTCTTCACTAAAGACAGAACTTCCACACAAACAACCAATTTGATGCAGAACTGGTGCAAAAGACATTTCTGTGTTTTGTTTTTTTTTCAACCAGTCAGTTTGACCCCCATCAAGCCCTGACATTAATCTGACTTAGTGATATAACCCATATTAGAAGACAATGTTTCACATATCTCATACTCAAGTGTCTCAGACCTGAAAGAAGCTATTATGACATCGTGGCACAATTGGAGCAAAGAGATGAAGAAATCCTGCACTTCAGTTGAGAAGAGATTAAGGATTATGGTGAAAGCAATGGGTAACCATTTTAATAATCAATCTGTGAAATTCCATTAACCAAAACCTAAAACTTTTTATTTTATTATAAAATTAATAACAAGTAAATATATATGCCACACCTGGTAGAGAAATTTCTGAGTCTATGTTGCTTTTTACTAGAGTCTTTTCTCCTCCAGTCTTCCTCATAGAGCATGCACATTCATTTCAAAAAATCTCAAGCTAATTTTTCTTTGAAACATGGCCCTTATAGAGCCTGAACACAAAAACAGATTTTAAAAAATTATACCACTTGTTCATCTTCACCATTGTAATCGCATGGCAGCAATGCATGGTATTAATATGTAATACTAAGGTGTTTGGCTTGCAGGAGATTTTTCTTTCAGTTTGAGGAAATCAATATCTGTATTTAGTTTCTAAATCGGTATTTTAAATGTTGCCACAGGTATCTTAGGGTTAAGGAAAGGTGTCAATTCCTGGTGAAAATATTTTTATATTTGTTTAGTATAGATGGTTCACTCGATTCAGATTTCTTTATCTACAAGGAATAAAAATGTCTTACTACTGCAGTGAAATTAATTTGGTTTCCAGGAAGGTCAAAAATTCAAGTGATAAATCAGACATGTCAAGGCTTAGTTAGAAAACCTAGGTTGTGGGAAGAAAGTAATTTCCAGACTAAGGAAAGAAGTCTGATACCAATAACATAAAAGACTGGAAACTGAAGATCAACCAGATGAAGCAAATGAAGTTTGCATCAGTTGCTTCTTCAGCAATTATTAACCCAATTATGCTAAGGCTAGATAACATGCTGAACTTGGCAGACCAAACAGACCATTCTCTTGGAATTCATCATTCCTTTAATGAGCCACACAGAGCAGAGAAGAATGCCAAAGGAATATAAACCCATCGAGATAGAATGAAGAATGTTCACAGATTAGTCCCTATGCAGGGATCTTCAACATGCTGGATACCATGAGGCAGGTAGGTGAAAGTCCATAAAGTTAGACACAAAAATCATAATAGCTTCAAGGTAGCTGTGTTTCAGGAAAAGAGAATTGCGAGTCGAGTAGCACTACGTGGACACAATCCAGGACTTTATCAACCTCAGCCAGTGTCTGTTAAAAGACACTCACCATCTTATGAGCCAAGGAAACATCACTGATGACATGTCCAGATATATCACAATGAGGTATGGCAAAAGTCACAAACTCATGAGGAGAGATACAGAAAGTGAGGCATGTGAGAGAGGAAGCATATGTATCCTCAGATAATTCCAAATATGATAAAGATAAGAAAGTAATTCTTGATGAACCAATAAACAATGATTAAAACACCTTAAAATCTTCTGACAAAAATTAGATGCATCTACTTGTTTTCCATTACAAATATCATATTTTCTAATTAATCTAGATATCAAAGAACTGCAAAATTCTAAAGCTAAAATGTGTAGACATATACATCTAATACTTACATAAAAAAAAAAAAAAAAAATCACTTCAAACCAATTGTTATAATAGCTAAAGCAAAATTTGAAACATTCAATGATTCATTTACATCCTTCAAAATTATAACACAAATCTTTTAAATAAAGCAAATAATTTTAAAAATACATTTCTACTTCAATTGGAACAAAGAGATGGTGAAAAAATTACACACTTCAGTTGAGAAGAGATTAAGGGCTATGGTGAAAGCAATAGGGTGGCCATTTTGATTTGTAAATATATGTAAAATATTGTCAATAAATATAACAATCAACCTGTAAATTTCCATTAACCAAAACACAAAACATTTTTTTTTTATTATAAAATCAATAATGCCGCACATAGTAAACTAATCCATACATACAAGCTTACAGCACCTGGCATTCCCAAGCAATCACTCCTCTAGGTACTGATCAGGCTCAACGTTGCTTAACTTAAGTGATCATTGGGAACTGACATTTCAAGGTGACATGGTCATAAGCCCTCAATTGATTTTAGAATGACTAAGGAAATGGTAATAACACTAAAGAACTTAGTTTGGCAATAAAGTTTATAAAATTTTGTTAAATGCTCTGTATCATCTTTGCAGAGAGCTTTAAAAAAAAAAAAAAAAAAAAAAAAAAAAGATAAATCATTTTGTGTATGAAACATTTATTTTGAATATCATTTCATTCAGAATTAGAATATTTTTAAGGCCATACACAAGCCCTTCAATCATTTCCCATTTCAAAAAAAAAAAAAAAAAAAAAAAAAAAATTTTGTATACAAATATGAAATAAAAAATTCCTGGCTATTAGTCATTTCTGAGCACATCAACCTGCCAGTAGGGCTAGCCAAACCCCATTACAGATGGCTGCTCTGTTTTTATACTGCCACAATGTTGAGCAGTCACAGTTTCTGAGAGAGAACACATTATCTGGCATAATAAATGTTTTTGAGCAAAGCCAGTACACCCAAACCCTCAGTCATAATGGCATGCCTAACTAGGACAAGCATTGACAGCTTCTGAACAATTGAGTCTACTCAGTTTTTCACTCACAAACTCTAGTTAACTTGTGGTAGGATTGTCAGGCACTTTCTAAAAGGTGCCATGCTGATAATACCACAAAGTCACTTCCCTGACCAATCAACCAAACAGGTCACAGTCAGAAATTAAACATTCTAATCACTCTGCCATGCAACCATAACTTACAAATATGATAGTAGATATTAAAAAGACATTGATAAATTGAATGAAAGGAAATATACTAGAAAAGAAGGCAAGGACAATACTTCTTAACAAAAAATAAATGCACAAAGGTCATCATTTTATCACTTTTTACATTGATAACATAACCAGAAGTAAAACAATCTTCATGAACTACATTTGTATTTTTGTCAGCATTGAAATACTTGCAAAATACTTTCTGTGACTTCAAAACTGTCAAACATTTTTAATTGTTTTCACAATTTTCAATATTCCAAGCATTGACTATATACTGGCCAAAAACCTAATTTATTTTCTCAAGTGAGTTAGAATTTTTTTATCAAAAAATGTAAAAGTTAGATGTGAAAACTCACCTGAAGGATCTTATCATGCACCTGAAGACCAGTTCTGGCTGCAGGGCCATTTTCATGTATAAATGTCACATAAATACCCTGAGGAATAAAAATAAAATAAAAAACTGAATACCTGGGTCTGTGAATACCTGATTAAAGATATCAATTGATTTATTTTTTTTTTTTTTTTACAACTTAACCCACTACAAGTTATTTAAAAACCAGAAAATATTTTTAGATTATAAGAATTTTTTTTTTTGCTTGAGTTAATGATTTACTGACAATAGTAATTAATTGGGGGAGAAGAAGTAGATTCATACCTTTCCTAAGAGTATTTGCATATAAGTGAATATAACAAACCCAACTTTAGAATCACTAAGGACGTGGTAATATACCTAAAGAATTTACTTCTAAGAATAAAGTACTTGAAGAGTGATTTAAAATAGGACAGTTGAAAACAAAATGATGAGAATCTAGATTCCATTTCATGAACCAAAAGGAATTAGGGTTCTTATGGCTAAACACACATAGAAAGAAAAAAACAAAATATCTAATTGAAAATAAAATGGAGTAAAAAAAAAAAAAAAAAAAAAAAAAAAAAAAGGAAAAAAACACAAAAAAAAGAGGGGTAGGGGGACTCACTTTATCTGGGTATCCTTGAGGACTTTTTGTGTTGTCTTGGTCTATCCCACCCCCAATTCGAAAACCACAACGGTATTTCTGTTTACCATCTGTACCCACCACAGGGTTACCATGGTCATCTCGTTCTGGCTCTTTATGAAGAACAATAGGAATCTAGAAGAAAAAAAATTAAAAATAAATTTTAAAATGCTGCAAATTGCCGACACAGAATTATTCTAAAATTATAGTCATAGTATAATTTAAAAAAAAAAAAATTAAAAAAAAACAACACCAGCAGCGGACCTGAAAGTTAATCTAACCAAATGACAAAATATCAGAATTTTGGTGGGTAAAGGTTTTCTTGTTTGAACTAAAATATTTTCAGCACCCCTACATAATAACTTGTAGTTATCTTTTGTAGTAAATGCATTAATTTTTTTTATAGGGAAATAATGTGCAAAATAAAATTTGTTTGTGACTTGATTACTTTCTACATTAAAGTTGACAGAACATTTTTAAACATAAAACAAGTATGACCACTAACATATATAAGCAAACAATGCAGTTAGTACATTCCTTTCTATGGTAGAAATGTAAGGCTTGGTTACCAAGATTTTATGTTGGACATTTGTAATTGCTGACAATATGTGGCTTAGTTTATTTCTCAGCAACTAACTCAAGTTCAAAAGGTTGAAACTGCTTTAATATAGATAAGAATTTAACAACTATATTGTTATTGTCTGGGAAGATCCAGATCTGTCAAATGTTATTTTATGCTTGAAATATTTAATATTGAAAAAAAAATGTTTTAATTAAGACTAGTTTAATTCTAATTGCAATCACTCCTCACTTAACCATTTAATGGTTCCAGACTTATGACCAGCTATAAAATCTCACAAAATAATAAATAAAAATCCAACCAGTCAGTCAGTATTGGATATCATACAAAGATTTTGATCATAATTATTTTCTTTCTTCAAAAGGAACCAAAATGAATAAATAATGTGAAAAATATATAAAAAATTATATTGTGATAATAACAACAAAGATGAGGACAATAGTCCAAGCATAAATGACAGTCAGTAGAGGAGGGGCATATTCAACAAAAAAATAAAAATAAAAAATTGCTTTTTTTTCACTGCAAATTATTCATTATATCATACCCTAGTATTCTACAGAAAATTAGAGCTGATTACATAATATTTCAATTTAAGTTTATAATTCGTAACCATGCAATAAGATGAAGTAACATAAACTGTAGATTTTCTGTGAAATATGATTTCATTATTGTTACATAATTATAGTGGAATCATTAAGGTTTTCTGTCAAAAGCATTTTTTTTTGGTCATATATTAATTTAAAATATTCCTTTTTATAGGCTTTATTTTTGAAATGGAATAAGAACATTCTAAATTTCAGAATTTCGCTATTGCCCATCAAAATGACTGTAAGAAAGTGATCTAAAAACAACAATGGTAAAAAGAGCAGTAACAAAGCATAGACGAAATAGCTCCAGGTTGTTCAACCTGGGGAAACTTAGCATTGCAGCAAAGTATTCTAAAAATGCTGCCAATAACAAAGGAGAAAATGAAAAATGCCTAACAAAAAAATTGAATATAGCATCAAAATTTATATTATTTTTACTTATTTATGTAACCAAATACATAATTGCCAACAATGTTTCCATAAAACTTGATATTTCCTGTAATAAATTATTAATATTATTATTGATATTATTTTACTTAAGTGTAAGGTAGTCCTACATTTACAATTCTTTACGGCTAACCATGAAAAGAAGTGTTGATCAAAACTGCATATGACCTTTAAGCATGCATTGCCGCAAAAAGATCAAACGTTGAATTCACCCCTCCTCTACCAAACATATCATATAATGTAAACAAAAATTTACTTATATCTTGTTTGTTTAGTGGCATATCAACTCCATTTAATGCCAAAATTTAATTGGGAACAACAACAATTAAAAGGCGGTTTTACCTTTCTCAAAACCTCCCGATCAGAGTTCTTGCTGCTGGCCGTAGTTTATCATCATACCCAGGATGATGTACTATATGTGCAGTATGCAAACTGATGTACAGAATATAGACCTGTTTTTTGAATTTGCTTATTAAATTAAAATTTCAGTACACTACTGTATAATCATTTAGAAATAAATTTAAAAGTTAAAAAAAAAAAAAAAAAAAAAAAAAAAAAAAAGTGACTTTAAAGCAACTTGAAGAAGCCAGTTAGCACAAATCTATTACATATGTGGGATGCCTGAAATAGCAATCAGGTAAAGCTTAGTAACCATTTCATTGGAACAGAACCCAGCTGTTAATTGAGGAGTGGCTGTATTATTTATTCCCTAAGTAATATGACTATGAAAACAAGAACTGGGACTGTAGTAAGAAAAGTTTTGTTCAACAGGTAATGATGTATCAATAGCCAAACAGAAAACATGCTTTCAGGCCTCCAGGAAAATCTTTACTAAAGTATAATGTCTTTGACAGAATTAAAAACAAAATTCATGTTTTTTGTTTTCTTTCTGAAGATGACAGTTTAATTTGAATAAAAACATTCTATAATTACTTTTACTAAGTTTATCTTTTGTTTATATACATATATAAATATATGTATGTGTATTTAAGACAACTGTCATCTGCAGATGTATCTCTTTCCCAGTTAACGTTTCAATGTTAATCTCCTTCTGTATTTAATTAGTCCAACTTTCACCAATTACTTATAGATGATTAAGAATTTATATCTTAAAAGTACAATATTTATACAGCTAAAATTCTTTTTCAACATCAACATTGAAGAGAAAAACTAAAGCTACCTACCTGACTTAAAAACATAAGAGTTTGAATAAGATAATGAAAAAGTTTAATATTCAATTACAAACACTATCTTTTTTATGAAACATAAGAAAACTTCTAAGGGTTAGTCGTTACGGTCTGTACAAGTAGTTTATTTAAAATAATTTAATTTGATAGACTTTGTATATTTTTTAGATTTTTGTGTATACCAAAACAGGCAACTTTAAGTTTATTTTGGGGCCTTAAATTAAACATCAAAAAGTAATTTAATATTCATTGATAAAGAATAACATTAAGGGTGAAAATCAAATTCAAAAACTCAAAATCTTTTACATTATTTCGTTCAAAAAATGTATTCTAAATATTCAGCAGTAACCTACAAAGATATAATTGAAACTATTTTTTAATGTTTGACTGAGGTAATAAACAAAACATTCCAACAAAGTGTGTTACCTGACTGACTGTCTACATATTAACTGATAAAATTATTTTTAAGAGTTTTTTGGGGTTTTTTTTTACTATTACTACTGCTGCTAGGACAACAGCAGCAACAGTAACAAATCATCATCCATTTTTAAAATGAGTAACTGATATGATAGCAGCTACCAACCTGACTTAAAAACGTAAGAGCTTGAATAAGATAATGAAAAAGTTTAATATTCAATTACAAACACTATCTTTTTTATGAAACTTAAGAAAATTTCTAGAAGTCAGTCATTATGGTCTATACAAATAATTTAAAATAATTTAATTTGCTACTGCTAAAATGGGAATTTAAAAAAATAATAAAAAGACTAATAAATTAATGCTTTAATACATAAACAAAAAAGTTCTCTTTCAAACATTTCTTACAAATTAGTGTTGTTTCTCAAGAACTCATAAATACAAGTAGTTTTGAGTAGTAAAATGTTACAACTAAAATGTAACAATGACATGTAATGATACCAGAAAAAGTTAGTCTAATTTCTGACATCTATTTTGAAAAATATAGTGCATCCACCATCAGCAAGAAAAACAGCTCAAGGTGTGATCTACAAATTGGAAATATCAGAAACAAGCAGGTACAGGATTTAAACTATTTTGGGCAGTGCAGTAATATACAGAAAACGTGAAACGAATATGCAAAGGTATATGGAATAGTGAAAGACTTTCCAAAAGCTAAAATCATTAAGTGAATTTTCACATCAAGAAAAGAATGGCAAACTACTATAACACATCTATCGTCTTATATGATAGAATGCTGAATAATTTCCTTATATATGAAGGAGAGACTCAAAGCAGAGATGTGGTTCTCCAGAGATGCTAACAGACTGGACACTAAAACTTAAAATCTGAAAGTTGAAATTTCTGGGACACATAATAAAGAAAGAGAGCTTTGAGAACTTAACACTCACAAGACATACTGAAGGCAGGAGGTGCAGGGGGGAAACAATGAGTAACCTAACAATTTTTATGACTGGATGGCAGTGGGGACGAAGCAGTATGGTAAAGAGTTAAACACTGCTTAGAGCTACAAGAGATAGGAAGTTGTGGAGAGTTATGACCATCCACGTCCTGAAGGGACACAGCTCATAAAAGAAGAGTAATACATACTATGTAGATAATTTTTATTTGTTTTCTACATGAAACTTGAAAATGGTCATAAATTTTAAATATGCAAAAATAATGTAACCTGTTACAGCCATTATTTTTTAGGAGATTAGGAATCTATGACAGTTTGAGAGAAAGAATCAAACATTGCTTAGACCTTCAAGAGACAGGAAATTGTGGAGAGTCATGATCAACCAATATCTTGAAAGGATATGACACATAAAAGAAAATTATTACATCTATTTTTGCATTGTAGACAATGGGTCAAAGTTTGTTTTTAGGTACTGTGAGGTAACAAATATTGATAATTGTGTATTTTTTTTTTTTTTTTTTAGAGGGACTATTTACTGCTTAATCAATATATCAAAGTTGATAAGGTTTATTAAATATGCAACACTTAGGACTAAAAAAAACTATTTTTAATCTAAGCAAAACATCCATCGAAATTGTATCATAAATATCAACTTATCAAAGAGAGGTTTGCATTAACAGGAACTGATAACGGAACATTTTGCTATGTAACAGAATTGCTACAGATAGTAGCTTAATTTGCATTGCCATTATAAAAAGTAACTTAATCTAACAATGGAAAAAAAAACTTGTAACCTGAAAAACTAATGTGCGTAAACATTATTTTATGCAAGTATATACAAGCGCAGAACCTGAAGTCATGGTAGCCTATTAGTTGCAATATTCGAAAACAGATGTAAGATTGGAACATTTGCAAATAAATCAATTTCCTTACGATAACTCATTCTGAGAAATTAAATT